CGCGAGGCTCGCGCCGAAGCCTCAGAATTGCGTCAGGAAAACCACTACAGTGTCTAGTCTGTAGATTATGTAGTATATACAAAAATATATTACTTTTGTACTTAGATACAAAGAATAATACTCTAACTCATCTCTTAAATTTTTTTTCTCTCAGGTCCGGTTATGGACCGGTCCAGAACCGGACTGGAACTTGGGTCCGGTCCACTACCCGTCCACATAGGTCCGGTCCCCAGTCCGGGACACTCCCGGACCGCAGATTTGGTCCGGTCCTGAGTCCAGGTGAAGTATGCCCGGACCGGACCAGGACCGGACTTCAGCAACTATAGGTAGGGCTTTATTGAAATTTGAGCGTCGAAAATGCCGTTGCCAATTTACTCTATTAAGTTTGCTCATGTATACTGACTGTACTTCCGTATTCATACTGTGCTAGTAACAGGTCCGTCGCAACATGCCTGTACAGCTTATAATAAGCTGTACTGTGGTATCGATAGCTACAGTTTCTTATGGGACAATATTTAATGTACAAGAAGTTGACGGCTATTCTCGACATTGCATGCAGTGTTTAATAATGAATGGAAGAGAATAATAAAATGTCAGATTTATTCTTTTTCGTTTACTCTACAGCAGTCTTACAAACGTTGTTCTGAGCCTCGCGAAGAAACTAAGAGAAAAGAAGACGACAACCGAAAGTACGGAGCGCCACAAGATACGATACGTAAAGTAGAAGAAAAATGTAGTATGAAAGTAAGATAAACGGAGTCTTATACCGGTCTTAAGCAGCATCAACTGTCTACTTCATCTCGCCAAGCTCAGAAGAAACAACAGAACTAAGCGGTACCCTCAGCAACTCTAACTTTGATCTGGTCAACGACAGAGGGGTCCGCAAGAGTACTGAGATCGCCAAGCTGGTCACCCTCGCCCGCAACGATCTTGCGCAACACACGACGCATAATCTTGCCCGAACGCGTCTTCGGCAAATCATTAACGACAAACACGCGTTTCGGTGCGGCGAACGGTCCGATAACCTTTCGGACTTGCAACGTGAGTTCGCGCGCAAGGGCTGCCTCATCATCTCCCGCTGAGGGCGTGAAGTCCGGCTTGAGAGTGACGAACGCGTAGACGGCTTGGCCCGTCAACTCGTCAGCGGTACCAATCACAGCTGTCTCTGCGACACCTGCGTGCAAGATGAGTGCACTCTCGATCTCAGCCGTGGAGAGACGGTGTCCGGAGACGTTGATAACGTCGTCCACACGTCCCTTGATCCAGATGTATCCGTCTTTATCACGAGCGGCACCATCACCGGTGTAGAAGAAACCGGGGTAAGGCTTCATATACGTCTCGAGGTAGCGCTTGTGGTCCCCGTAGACCGTACGAGCAATACTTGGCCAGGGGTTCTTGAGGACAAGAACGCCTTCAACGCTGTTACCCTCGAGAACCTCACCAGTCGAAGGATCGAGAATGACTGGCTCAATACCGAAGAACGGGACAGTCGCCGAACCAGGCTTAGTCTGGATCGCACCGGGGAATGGCGTGATAACGATTGAACCTGTCTCCGTCTGCCAAAAAGTATCAACGATCGCGCATTGTTCGCGCCCGACGTATTCGTGGTACCAGTACCAAGCCTCAGGGTTGATGGGTTCTCCGACGGAACCGAGGACACGTAGGGAAGACAGATCATGTCCCTGAACATGATGATGACCTAGACGGCGGAGAAGGCGGATAGCAGTCGGTGCACTATAGAACTGCGTGATTTTGTGCTCTTGGACGTGTTGCCAATAGCGCGAGGGTGTCGGATACACTGGCGTCGACTCAAAAACAGTTGTGGTGATACCGTTGCAGAGTGGCCCGTAGACAATATATGTATGCCCAGTGATCCAACCGACATCGGCCATACACGCAAACTTGTCATCTGGATGAACATCGAAGACGTACTTGACAGTAAGTGCCGCACAGAGCAGGTAGCCACCTGTCGTGTGAACAACTCCCTTCGGCTTACCCGTTGATCCGGAGGTCTAAGTATTGTTAATTTTAGCAACGGGTCTCTGGAAGCAAAACTTAATAAGACATACATAAAGAATGAATAGGGGGTCCTCAGCAGCCATAATTTCAGGCGGGCAATATGCCTGGACCTTTGCAGCTTCTTCATGCCACCATTTGTCACGTCCTTCTGTCCAGGGTACTTGTTTGCCGGTGCGCTTGAGAACAAGAACATGTTCAACAGACGGACAATCCTTCAATGCGGCATCGACGATAGCCTTCGTTGCAATCGTCTTGCCACCACGGCGGCCCTCATCCGTTGTAATGAGCACTCGCGAGGAACAGTCACGGACGCGATCACGCAAAGACTCGGCAGAGAAACCTGCGAAGACGACGGAGTGAATGGCACCAATACGGGCGCATGCAAGGAATGCGGCTGTGGCATGCCAGGTCATGGGAAGATAAATGGATACGGTGTCTCCCTTCTTCACTCCAAATTGCCTTAGGACGTTTGCAATGCGACAAACTTCACGGAAGAGTTCTCCGTATGAAACGGTGTAGCCTTCTCCCGGTTCATCTGCTTCATAAATAATAGCAGTCTTTTCGGGATGTTTGAATGCCCAACGGTCGACACAGTTATAGCAAGCGTTGAGTCCACCTTCGGGGAACCAAACGATGTCGCCGTTGACGAAGCTTCCCGAACGGACAGTCTTGAATGGTCGGTCCCAGTACAGAGTTTCTCTTGCAACCTAGATAGTCATGGGACATTTGAATCAGCTTCTGATAACAGGAGGCGAGGAAGACCAAGTTAATAGACGCATGTGCTTCGCCGGATGAGCCTCCGCAGACCTCGGAAGCTCATGAACAGAATAAGCACGCCGATCTACACGAAGAGTACAAGTGATGATGAATGACGCCAAGGAATGCATAAGACCGCCAACTCTATTAGGTCCACCACGTGCGTGATACAAGTACCGTCCATAGGTACATCATTATTACTCTGAGCGCTGGGACGAATGCGATGCGAAGTACGAATAAGCGATTGATCGCATTTCTGGGGGATAAGCGCGAAGCCAAGTTGGATACTTCCATCATCAAGGTGTCTATGCAGGTCCCCTTCCGGACAGGCCTCAACTCACTCCGCACACCAGACGCGATCGGCGCACTCTGTTATAACGTTCAGGAAGAAATATTGCTCACCTTCGACCACCACTCATCCGACTTGTCGCCAATAGTCAAGGCATGTGCCTGCTGATACTCTTTTCTTGACGGACCAACATGAGGCTTCTTGGGACCGCTGGTCATGCGCGGGGCAATAGGGTAGATAGGCGCGAGTTCGTGGTCTTCAGCCATTTTTCTCTCAGTCGTTGCGCTTTCAGCCGGGTAAAGCCGAGTAGAGTCGAATAAATGAAGCAGAAAAACTGAGTGGGGAATGTGAGGGAAATGGACAAGTGGAAGAAGAGACAGAGCGTAAGGATGGGAGCTAAAGGTTGATGCGAGCAGTTTATATGCTCAGTCACGCTCGGTGTTCCAGACGCCTTTGAATCCCGGTCACAAGGCACGCTTCCATATCCAGTCCGGCTCTTCCGAGTAAGGTTCGATCGCAACGCCCTCTCTCTGTCATATTGGTGAAGTACGCACTTACCTTCCATCATCCCGCTATACTCGATGTGGAGAAAGAGCGGATCGTTTGTCAACAGCGTAGCTAGAGCGGTCCTCTCTTCTCTCCTCCAATCCTCAGAAATCCCAAGAAAACGAATAAAATTAATTCTTATTACCAAGAACTCGTTACTGATTCAGATCTCGATCCTGCTCTTGGTTTGCGGGGTTCGAGGGTCATGCGGATCCGTTCCCCACAGCAACGGCTTGCCGTTGTGCAATCGACGGAATGTTCAGGTAGAGCAATCATGCACTCAACGTTACGTCGCGGTGCGCTCCGAACGAATGCGAGTCGCAAGGGAACATAGGAATTCGGCGGACATCCGAAATGAAGCGCACCGATAAAGATGTGCATAGTAGCTTCCGAGATGTCCGTAAATGCAAGCACAAAATGTCGGGATGGTTGCACCCTACCGGCCGTCAGGAAGAGAACGTAAGCTCGGACAATAAAGGAAGGCCAGTATCGGCCTTCAAAGCTTGCCAAAACTTCGTATTACACAAGGAGATTAGGCGACCCACGGGAGAAGAGAAGGACATCCTACTAAACTTCGGATTGGCCAATGGCTCAGACAAATAGGAAAGCCTAGTCTCTCCGATGGCACGCAGACATATCTTCCGATTTGCTCCGTTATGGTATGGTATGGTATGGTATGGTATATTTCCTAGTATAGGTCCCTAAAAAGAAACACTAGGGCTGCTGGTCTATTGTACAAATACAGGGTAATTTATCTATAATAAAGAAACCACCCTGTCCAGCAATGTTCAGGGAACTACTAATGCAATAGACACTCAATGCTTCTCCAACTGTGTACCAGAAATGAGACAAAAAGTATATAAGCTTTGAGAGATAAGGGAACACGGGTACACGGGAGAAGATGCTATTTTCACAGTAGAAATCCATCATGAACAGTACAGAGAGATTATAAATGGAAATCACCAATAGAGTTAGCTGTGACCTTAGCAAAGAAAGGAGGCAGAAAAGTAAAAGAAGATTGACGAGCAAGAATAGGGGTTGTAAGCAATTGCAACATCTTTATTTTGAGTAACTCATTTTGTTTTTTCTTTTATATATTTGATAGTATGCTACACTAGTAGCATTATAGAAGTATATTGAGTAATTTTTAGTCTTCTATTAATGACATAGATGTAGTAGCAATTTATTGGTATTTTTTGAATAATTTTCGTGATGGTGGTTCGTGTGTGGCCCACGGGGCGGTGAGGGCATGTTTCCCGTAAGTGATCACATGTGAATCAATTTACTGCTGGTTAATGACCTGGCCTGTAGCATCTGTACAATGGATTGAAACTCGGAAAAGACGAGATCGAGAGTGTTATGTATCGACTATTTTCTGAACATGCCAAAAACTTGCAACCTCTTACGTTCGTCCTGTTCTGCATCAAGTCTTCTTGGAAAACAGGGTAGGCCAGGCAAATGAATAGAGCATGTCTCACGACTTGTTTCATCGGTATATTTTCCCCACTGTTGGTGAGTTTTTTCGCGATTGCGCTGTGGTGTGGTGAAACAAACTGAATTCTCTGAAACGTATGGTCCGTGAGTTGCGGATTTGCTCATACCCTTCCTATTCGGGGAAGAAAACAGGCACGCGTGCAAGCTGGGAACACCTGTCCTGGTCCAGTACTTTCTTTGGACTCCCCACTCGACAATGCTGATTCAAAGGCTCTGAGTAAAGCGACAGAGCTGAGTCACACGTATCCAAGGTGTGATATTGGCACAAGACGTACACAACAAGGGCACAGATATCCAACGGATGACAATCGTTTCTACTCCGGATTGTGGTGGATGAGAATTACCTGCGAGATTGTGCCTTTGACTAGATGCAGGAACTCGTGTTCGCTTCTGTCCGACTCACCTCGGATCGTTTGATAAATTTTTATTTGTTCTACCATTATTTCTCATTGGCTGTATGCTGAGAAAGATAGGTGTGGAGGGGTGCCGTGTCTTGATCTCAATGCAGGTACTCAACTGTCAAATACAGCACTTGCTAAAAATGTTTGTGTGTATATTTCCAGAGTTTAGAGGCAATGCGAAACTTGCAGGTGTGGCCTTGTCAACAAGCTCCTATCACAATACTCTACAAATATTTTAGTTCTGACATGCATACGTCCTGTGCCTCGAGAAAAACTTCATTGGAGGATAGAGCCGTTTATTGACACCAAGAACATGGTAGTGTTACTTGCTTTCTCAGAGTATTTGCATAGCACACCTCTGAGCTGCTGTCCATGTCAAATCCCCTTGCAGCCACATACTCCAAAGTAATCATGTTTTGTTTCTATGTAGCTCTCCTTTCCTCAAAGGCAATTCAGCAAATGTAGAAGTAGACATCATCTGGACGCAAGAGCACGTTACGATTAGTGCTCCGCGCGTA